GATGGAACACAAGTGTCTAAGATAGAATTGTACGGAATTCCTATAGTAACACCCAATTTTTGTAAACTACATGTCCAGGAACAAAGGCTCCATTTTAGATCTCACTGTGTCTAAAAAGCAATCTTTCTTAGCAAAGTTTCAATATTCCTCTTCAATTTCAATATGACATTTTGTTCTAAGGTTAATAGATATTAGAAATATGTCCAATCACAGAATATCAGCTACAACAGGACAGTAAATTCAGAGTAGATAATTCTGTGGCTTTGATTTTATTGCTAGACTATCAGAGGAATCAGTTTGGACTAGATGTAAGATCTTCATACTTTCACACATTCAGTTCCAAATAAGGCAGTGTCATTGTGAAAAAACTTTGAGTTTAGGTATGGTAAGGTATGCTACTAAATATTAATAATAATCACAGTACTGTGTTAAGGCATATACCTCAAAACATAGCTTAACATGTAAACATTGTGACAAGTGCTATGTATTTTGACAACATAATAAGTACATTTGGATGACTGAGTGAAACATGTCAGTTCCAGCAGAGTTATTTATATGTGTGTGCTGGAGTACAGGGAGCTTGGAGCAGTGTTAGGCACTAAAGCAAGTTTAAAGCAACAACCCAGGAGAGTCCAAAAAGGAGGGAAATACTGTGTCTGTTTTAGTCTGTTTGGGCCACTATAACCAAATATCATAAACTGAGTGTCTTACAAAAGCAGAAATTTATTTTCCACAGTTCAGGAGACTAAATTCAAAATCAAGCAGATTTTGTGTCTGGTGAAGGCTAACTTCCTAGTTCAAAGAGGGTACCTTGTGGCTGTGTCCTTATTTGCTGGAATAGTCAAGCATCTTATTCATAATAGCACTAAAAAGAGTTCCACTCCCAAGTTCCTAATACTATGACCGCAGGTATTAGAATTTCAACATATAAATTTTGGGGGTGAATTCTGACCATAACAATGTTTGATGATTGAACTAATTCTAATAGTGTTGTAATTACTGACAGCTAACGATGGATTCACTGAGAATTCTGAGGTGTTCCTGCTTGCCTACAGGGTTTACTGTAATATATATATGTGTATATATATACACACACACATATATAGTATATAAACTGTAGTGTGTATATATATACACACACACTGTAATGTATATAGTAATATATTTCTTGTTCTGAGAATAAGACAAGATCATGAGGTTGTATCTTAGAACTAAGTTCAATGCCCATAAGAATCCAAGAAACTTAATACATGTAATTGGGAATGTTTTATTTCTTCATGGTGGAATTCTCAACATGATCAGAAGCTGTACTGATGGTGTAATTCAACTAATGAGAAAGACTGCAAGAGGCAAGAACTTTCTTTTTCTCAAGAGATTGGGAAATCATGAGGAGAAAAAAACTCAGAGAGAAAGAAAGGCAAAGAACTTTATCAAAGGATAAAGGACAACAAATGATTCTGAGATCTAAATACTGCTTCTAGACCTCAGTCTTTTTGTTGCTGTTGTTGTTGTTTGACAAGTCCACAGATTGATAGTTAAGGCCAGGAAAGGAAAGTATGCAAATAAACTGAAAATGTTTGTGGTAAATTTGGATTAAAAGGCAGCAATGATTTGAGAACTAACGTAGCACATCACTGTTGAAGGAAAGAAAGTCTTCGCAAACAAAACAAGACTTTGGCACACCAAGAGCTTCCACCCATCAATAGGTAGCTGAGTTCCATCAGTGGTTTTGTTGTGAAAGAAGAATTTCAGTACAGCCCGGCCTTTTTACAAAAAGCATTAGCATCAGCAGGAAAGAGACTGGTTCCTATATTGATTAAAAGGCAATTTCACCTGGCTGTGTAGCAGGCTCGTCGGAAGCCATAACATACAGAAGGAAAAGAGCTGGTACTGCATGATTCTAAGGAATATGTTCACACATGAGATATGGTACCCAGCTTTTCAGATAGAGAATTTGGAGACATTGAAAGCAAGCTGTAAGTGCCACAATAATAAACGATGTCAGTCTTAGACACACAATGAAACATAAAACTTGGAACTCATTTTCACTTAAATCTGGAAGTTAATACATAACTGAAGAAATGAAGCTGCTGTTTAAAGAACACATTCTATTCAACAAGGCTACACTTTCAGGAAGAATAACAGATTAATTACTCATGAGTCCAGGATATGATGACAAATTAAGATTGCATGGAAATAGAAGACCCTGGAGATATAAAGGGACATGAGGGACATGTATGTGTCAGAGAAAGTGAAAATGAGTCCATGCAAAAACAGTTTTGGAAAAGACTACAGAATAATAGAAGCAATCGGTTAGGCTGGGCAGAGTGGCTCAGGCCTGTAATCCCAGCACTTTGGGAGGCCGAGGTGGGCAGATCAACTGAGGTCAGGACTTCATGACCAGCCTGATCAACATGAAGAAACCCCATCTCTACCCAAAATACAAAATTAGCTGGGCTTGGTAGTGCATGCCTGTAATCCCAGCTATTCAGGAGGCTGATACAGGAGAATACGCTGAACACAGGAAGCGGACGTTGCAGTGAGCTAGGATTGCACCATTGCACTGCAGCCTGGGGAACAAGACTGAAACACAATCTAAAAAAAAAAGAAAAGGAGCAGTCGGTGTTCCGTGTTAGGATAAATGCTTTGACTTTTACATGACAAATACAATCGAGCTGTCCAAAGACAATTTGTTAGCCTTTCTAACTGGGACGTGCAGGGATACAATAGATTAGATGTAACTCCAACACACAGCCTGGAGTAAAGCCCAGGCAAACTGCAACATGAAGCAGAACTGCCCTTAAATAACCTGGGGATTTGGGAGTTAAAAAAAAAAATGTTTAAAGTTACCGAGAATTTAAGGTTGTTATGTAACATTATTGCAGCAGAAAATTGAATATTAAACATTTTTAAACTACTTATGAGTTTCATTCAACTCATTTTCAATTAAATGTACAAACAATGCTTGGAGAAATAACAACACAATTTCCACATGTGATTAGGTTATTTCACAATACTCTTTTAGAAATTTTAATTTTTTAACTTTTCAAAAACATTTCCCTTATAAGATATTAAAATAAAATGTCTAAAAAATATCACATTTTAAAGTTTTTTTTCTATACTTGAATTTAAAAGCAACATTTCATGGCTGTTGAACAACTCTAACTTCCTTTCTTAAAACTTCCTTTCTCTGAATTACCTTTAAAGATTCTAGATTTGGAAAAAGCTGCTTACCACCACTTACAAAATATCTTGAATACTCACAGTTAACTTATAACCTAATTGAGAGTTGTGGGTTTCACCTGTGATGTCACCTTTTGTAGAGTTCAAAATCCAGAAATATTAACTGCTTGGTTTGGCTAAACTCAGGTAACAGAATATTTCAAAGGATTTTCTTAAAGAGTGCTCAGCTTGATTAAAAGTGTATATTCAAGTTATAGGTATATTTAAAAGGCCTTTATGTTTTTCTCTTCGTGGATCACGTTTCTCTTGAAAAGAACTTTTCTGTTGACTGAATTACTTTTCCCCACTCTGGTCTTTCCACTCTTAATGTACCCAAGATAACTTCTGGTGGCCTGAAACTTTTTGGGAAAAATAGAAAAGGCATGATGGATTCCATTTTGGGAGAAACCTCTATTTTCCTCATGGAACTCCAGAATTTACAGGCTGATAGATCCCACTCAAAATCTGTTTTGTCTTAACAGCTATACACGTTTATTAGGCCCTAGAAACTTCACGGTTTTCTATCCCTGCTCTTAAAGGGCTCCACTGGGAAGCCAATAATTCACTTAGGAAACAGGACAAGAAAAAAATCTTATAAATGCTGTATCTTCTTCTGTTTTTCTGTGTAGCGATATGTGTTGTGTGTGATGACTGTAAGAAGAGCTCTAACTGATTGCCTTAAATAAAAATAAGCACTTAAATCAAATATTATAGAGGAAAGTAAAAACTATAATGCCTTTAGTTTACGTGACTTTAATCTTTAAGAAATAAAAATTGTTTTAAAGATTAAGTTGTAAAACGCAAATGTCATCAAAATGTAAATAGGAGGTTTAAATCATGTAAGTTAGATACCAGGTTTGCTAAATGTTTCAAGTTGTACACTGCCTACTTTACAGCTTGGTAAGGCCTGGAGACAGAAGAAATTAACTATGCCCTAACAATGCTGAGAAAAGTCAGACTTTATCTGCATCTAGTACATAATTAAAACAACTAACCAGGTTTCACAGTAAAGTTGAAAATTGCTAAGAGTTACCATTAAAACATGTAAATAAGAGAACTAAAAATAAATTTACATGCAAGGTGTGTAAGAATAGTAAAATGTGTTTTTGGTAAAAGATGTGTTTTGGTAAAAAGGCATGAAAATATAAATCTTGTTTATGGAAAAAGGATTATTTTGAAACCAATGTAAGGGTAAATTTTGGCTTTCTTTCCCTTGTACAGATTTTCATGTAATAGAGAAGAATAGTGAAATATTTTGTCTGCCTTGTTGGTAGACTGCCAAGGAGAGAAAAGGTTAGATAGGAGACAAACTGTTTGGAAAGTGAAGTCTTCTCTCTTAATGAGTAAAGGTTATTGCCTAGTTTTAAAATTTCTGAGTCATCATTTTGGCAAAATAAAAAACTTATGTGTAACCGGGAATTGTATTTCATAATATCAAGTGTTTTAAACCTCTAACATTTTACAGGCTTTCCAAAATCAAACTTCATATTCAAAATTGTCTCTCCTGAAACCTAGCTTTTGTATGCTACAGAGGGTCCTGAAGCATCCAGAAGAGAGGTAAACAGAATTTTTTGACATGTTTAGGTAAGTGGGATTGCAAAAATTATGTTATATTTTAGTGATAGTTTTAATATATCTTCCAAAATTGTATGGGATTTTAAAAATCCTAAACCTTGAGTATATGCTGTGAATCATAATTAGGATTATAATATTAAGTTATTGCAAACCACAGAAATAACCAAATATCTTTGCCAATCATGTTCTTGACTGTAACTAACCTGGACACTTTGTCATCTACAGAAATTTGTTGTCTTGTTTTAATCCTCTTCAAAAGATGTTTTACAATCAACTGGAAGACTTTAAAACATGCTCTCAAATGCAGGTTTCTGATAACTTTGGAAATCATGACATGGGAATAAAAGAAAACATAAAAGAGTCATGAAGAGCTTAACTGTGAATATCAGACAGGAGTTAATTGCATGAACTAAACTAACAGATATCTGAAATAATATTTTTTACTTTTTGCTTAAAACATTGCTATTCTTTGTTTTGTTCTTCAGAGTTAAGGAAACTTTTAAGGTCTACAGCTCTTAACAATTGAGTAAGATATACTCCTGTGAACAAAATTTGGAGCATATTTATTTCTCTCTGCTGGGTTACTCTAGAATTTGGAAACTATTTGGGAATATTCTTAACTAATGATAATGTAGTTATTTGCACCAGTGCAGTAACAATCCATTTTCTTTTGTAACATGACACAATTGGAGAAACTGGTTGTTTTACCAAGGTTTTGACTGGAAGGATATGCTTCTCTTTGAGGAATCAAGTTTCACTTACACAGCCAATAAAAGCACACTGGGAAATGTGGCCTCCTACCTTGTCTACACAATCTGTGTACAGGGCTTCTAATTTATGGTAAGTAAACAATGTCACTATCTAACAGGCCTAGGAACCACACATTCTTGCGACCTTAAGAAGTGAGGAATTCACTCAATTTGTAGGTATTTGAGGGTACAAACTCATGACTGGCCTTGGCTTTAAAAAAGTCCTATCTGAGATTCCACGTGGAACAAAGTTCCATCAAAGATAATTTTAAAAGACTATGCAAAAATAAGTATTTTTGCTTCACTTTATGCAAATAATCAAGCCAAGTATAAGCCTAAGTTTATTTTGCAAACAACTCAGTAATAATTTATTTTTAACAAAGCAACTATCATGATTTGTTTTGAATAAAACTGAGGCCAGGAGAAAGAAAAATTTGATTAAAAACTTACCATACACTTGTCATTAAATTCTAATCTCATTAGTTGTTTTTAAGTTTTGCCTACTCTGTTAGTCTGTTCTCATGATCCTAACAAAGATACACCTGACACTGGGTAATTTATTTGAAAAAGGAAGTTTAATGGACTCACAATTTCACATGGTTAGGAAGGCTTCACAATCATGATGGAAGGCAAAAACATGGAAGCAGACAAGAAAGAGGATGAGAACCAAATGAAAGGGATGTCCTGTTATAATACCATCAGATCTCCTGAGACTTATTCACTACCATGAGAACAGTATGGGGAAAACCACCTCCCATGATTCAATTGTCTTCCACAAGATCCCTCCCAGAACTCATGGGAATTATGGGAGCTACATTTCAAGAACTGACTTGGGTGGGGAGAAAGCCAAACTATATCAGCTACATTTTAGACTAACCCTGCTTATTCCTGTAAACAAATGAGCAATCTCTGGCTGAAACTCAAAATACAAAAGGGATAAGTAGTGTAAAAATCTGGATCAATATTCTAGTTTTGGCAATGATTCTGAAAATCTCACCAGGTTATGGGAGTATGCAGGGTACCCACAACCCAGAGGTTCCTTTGTTTGGGAAAATAAAACAAGGAAGTTAACCAAAGCCAAGCCCCTTGCACCCAAATCTTAGCAGGCATAACTATAGCAAACATTTATCTGGGTATGGCTGAAACATTAAGATTTTTGAGCTATCATTATTTATTCCCTTGTTTCATTTTTATACATGTCCTCTAATAACTCATTTTTTTCTTGCCTAAAGTCTATCAAGCTACAAATGATGATGCAAATGAAACCATGCATGGAAACACATTTCTTCCAAGGATCCTTAGAAAGGTCACAGGAGGAACCTTAGCTGCTGTTCCCCACACAATGCCCCTTTCCAGCAGGACGTAGCAAGAAGAATCATCTCCTACCTCCTTAACAGCAGTTAGAGTCTCCACTCCTGCAGGGAAAAATGAGAGAGAAGAAACAAACCAGTGAGGCAGGCAGTTAGGGTGGGTCCTCAGCTGAATTCTTTCAAACAAAATAATAGCCTAAAAAATCCAACTATAGTCATAGAAATGTAAACTTGCATAGTGGGGTTTGACTAAGACATGCCCACAGCCACACAGATAAGAAAGGCTACACAGGTGACTTGTGCAGACATACCCACAATAAAAGTTTCTATCCCCCATGATATGGTTTGACTGTGTCCCCACCCTAATCCCATCTTTAATTTCAACATGTTGTGGGAGGGAACCAGTGGGTGATAATTGAACCATGGTGGCACGTCTTTCCCATGCTGTTCTTTTCTCAGGGCAGTTAATAAGTCTCCCAAGATCTGATGGTTTTAAAAAGGGGAAGTTCTCTGCACAACCTCTTTTCTCCTGTCGGCTGCCATGTGAGACATGCCTTTTACCTTCTGCCATAATTGTGAGGCCTTCCCAGCCATGTGACACTATAAATCCAATATTCCTCTTTCTTTTGTAAATTTCTCAGTCTTGTGTATGTCTTTTTCAGTAGCATGAAAATGGACTAATACCGTAAATGGGTACCAGGAGTGGAGTGATGCTAAAATTATACACAAAAATGTGGAAGTGACTTTGGAACTGTGTAAGAGACAGAGGTTGGAACCGTTTAGAGGTCTCAGAAGAATATAGGAAAGTGTGGGAAAGTTTGGAACTCCCTAGAGACTTGTTAATGGCTTTGAGTAAAATGCTAATAATGATATAAAATCCAGGCTGAGGTGGTCTCAGATGAAGATGAGGAACTTGTTGGGAACTGAAGCAAAAGTGACTCTTGTTATGTTTTAGCAAAGAGACTAGTAGCATTTTGTCCCTACCCTAGAGATTTGTGAATCTTTGAACTTGAGAGAGATGATTTAGTGTATCTGGCAGAAGTTTCTAAGCAGCAAAGCATTCAAGAGGTAACTTAGGTGCTGTTAAAGGCATTCAATTTTAAAATGGGAAACAGAGCATAATAGTTCGGAAAATTTGCAGCCTGATACGATTGAAAGAACAAAACTCTTTTTCTGAGAAGATATTCAAGTCAGCTGCAGAAATTTGCATACGTAACCAGGAGCCAAATGTTAATCTCTAAGACAATGGGGAAAATGTCCCCAGGGCATGTCAGGGGTCTTCACAGCAGCCTCTCCTCTCACAGGCCCAGAGGCCTAGGAGGAAAAAGTGATTTCTTGGGCTGAGCATAGAATCCCTGAGCTATGTGCAGCCTAGTAACTTGGTGCCCTGCATCCCAGCCAGTTCAGCCATGGATAAAATGGGCCAAGAAACAGCTCAGGCTATTGCTTCAGAGGGTGGAATCCCCAAGCCTTGACATTTTCCATGTAATGTTGAGCTGGGGGTGCACAGAAGTCAAGAATTGAGGTTTGGGAACTCCCCCTAGATTCACAGGATGTATAGAAACACCCAGATGTCCAGGCAAGAGTTTGCTACAGTGGCAGGGCCTTCATGAAGAAACTCTGCTAGGTTCATGCAGAAGGGATATATGGGTCAGAGCACCCACACAGGGTCCCTACTGGGGCACCACCTAGTGGAGCTGTGAGAAGAGGGGCCCCCTCCTCCAGATCCCAGAATGGTAGATTCCTTGACAGCTTGTCCGTGCACCTGTAAGAGCTGCAGACACTCAACACCAACCAGTGAAAGCAGCCAGGATGGGGCTATATCCTGTAAAGCCACAGAGGCAGAGTTGCCCAAGGCCATGGGAACCCACCACTTGCATCAGTGTGACCTGAATGTGAGACATAGATTCAAAGGAGATCATTTTGGAGATTTATGATTTGATTGCCTTTCTGGAATTCGTACTTGAATGGGGCCTGTAGCCCCTTTTTTTTGGCCAATTTCTCCCATTTGAAACAGTTATATTTACTCAATGCCTGTAACCCCATTGTATCTACGAGGTAACTAACTTCCTTTTGATTTTACAGGGTCATAGGCTTACCCTGTCTCAGTTAAGACTTTGGACTGTGAACTTTTGAGTCAATGCTGAAATGAGGAAAGACTTTAGAGGACTGCTGGGCAGTCATGATTGATTTTGAAATGTGGGGACATGAGATTTGGGAGGGGCTGGGGCAGTATGATAGGGTTTGGCTGCGTCCCCATCCAAGTCTCATTTTGAATTTCCAGGTGTTGTGTGAGGGACCTAATGGGAGGTAATAAAATCATGGGGCCAGGTCTTTTCTGTGCTAATGAATAAGTCTCATGCAATTTGATGTATTTAAAAACAGGGGTTCCCCACACAAGTTCTCTTCTCTTGTTTGCCAACATGTGAGATGTACGTTTCACCTCTGCCATGATTGTGAAGCCTCCCCAGCCACATGGAACTGTAAGTCCAATAAACGTTTCTTTTGTAAATTGCCCAGTCTCAGGTATGTCTTTATGAGCAGCATGAAAACGGACTAATACACCTTGACACATGAGCAGTAAAGGGAACAAAGCAATATGGAGTAACTAAAGCTATGGGTCACATGTAAATTAGGACAAGGTGAAGTTACCCAAAATTTGTACTGTATGCAAATGAGATGCCCAGACCTTATCAGGTTTTTGATAAAAGGGTTTGCATTCAACTGTAAAGATGACAACCTTCTTTTAAGCCCCCAGTCCACAGTGGAGAGCTTTCTTCTTTTGCTTATTAAACTTTCATTTCTACCTCACTTTGATGTTCACACTTCTTAATTTTCAGGGTCATAAGACAAAGGACTCCAGGTGATGCCTCAAATAAGAGACTGCCACATGGTAGTGCATTGGTTAAACTGTATTATTTGGAAACCACTTGCCCTTTGTTTACCTTTTCAATTACTTTGAACAGAGGATACACATAAAGGTTCTGTATGTTTTTGTGTGTATAGATGTGTGTGTGTGTGTATAGATGGATGTATGTGTATGTGTATATATATACATGTATTCATATATATGTATTCATATATATACATGTATTTAAATATATATGTATACACATGTATTCATACATATATATGAAAATCTGTAAGACTATACATTCAAAATATTTCTATGTGGTCTCTCTTAAATTAATACCCTGCAAAATGCAGTTTTATTTTACACAAAACATTCCCTTTCTCAGAAAAAGTACTAGTAATGTATTATTTTCTGGTTTTATTTCTACATTTTTAAGCTGTTTTTGATAAAAGGATACAAATTAAGTTTTTGATTCAATACTTTTAGAAGAAAATGCAGAAAAATGTTTATACTAAGTAATGTTTTTCTCTCTGAAACAAAATTTTTAAAAGTTTGGCCGAGTGTAATCCCAACACTTAGGGAGGCTGAAGCAGGAGGATTGCATGAGCCCAGAAGTTCAAGACCAGCTTTGGCAATATAGTGAAACCCTTTTCCTATTTAAAAAAAAAAAAAAAAAAAAAAAAAAAAAGGTTATTTTAAAAATTATTAACAAATAAAAACATAAATAAAAGAAATTTGCAGGCTTATTTTTCATTGAAATGGTTGTAAGGGAGGATAAGTTACTTTTTCTCTACCTTCTTTGGTTTAATGGTGGGGACATATGAATCAAATAAATAAAAGCTTAATAAGAGAGGGAAAAACATATTGAATTATGTAAATAGCCAGGAACATAAGAGGCATCCACAAAGAGTGCAAAAATGAAATCCTTAAGATATGGAGTTTCTCCCAACAGTAGCCAAAAGAAATAAAAATTTAGACAAATCTTCTGAGAGGGTTGGTAGAACACCAGTGGCAAGAGGGTGCAACCTACATCTCTATCTGACCATCTACAAATTCTCAGGGCATCCAGTCTGATGATTGACTGTCTGTACAGCAAGCCCAACATCATGTACCCTACCACCAGGAGGAAAGCCAAGTCAAGCACTCAAGACACAGAATAAGACAAACAGGAAAGCAATGGCTGTCCCTGGGAGTGAAAGGGTCAATAAACAATGAATATTCAAGAGAAAATTCACCAAAATCCCATTCCAAAGAACTAATTCTTATCATTGTTTTTCTCCTGCAATTCTCAATTTGGAAAAGGAAAAACAGAGTCCTGTATTTGTATATTTGCAGGCAAAACTCCAGGATCTGATCCAGCAAAAATTTCTACATCAGCTTTGTCGGATCTCAGTTCAGCTACAGCCTCTGGAGCAAGTGGGATGCCTGCCTGTCCATTCATGGTTGCCTAAGCCACAGAAAAGGAGAAACACTTTTTCTCTTCCCTCCTGGTTCAGTGTCTGGGACCCTACAAATTAAACTGACCACAGACAAGTTAACAAGAAAAAAAAAAAAATGATGTACATACACATGGAAATTCACAAAGAAATGTGATGCAAAGAGGCAATTAGAATTTGGGGTGTGTATCTTAGACTAGCCAAAGAAAACAAGTTTAGGGCTGCTTGGTGCAGGAGGTAAGTTATGGGAAAGCAGGGGGAGGAAATGTATTCTAAATAAGGATTGTTTAATAAGGTTTCTTATGCAGATAAGTCATCAGCTATTAAGAGTTGTCTATGGAGTAGTTTTCTCACAAGTATGCTAGAGGGAGACACCTTTACATACTGAAATTTAATTACTGCTTTTAGAAAGGGAAAAGTCAGAGAGCTAATTGCTTTCTGCCCAAAAAGTTATTATACCAAAGTGACATATTTTGGAGGGGCATATTTTGGTCCACTTCAGGATATTTTACTGGATGCAATTCTATATTTTAATGTATTATAGTGATATTCATTGTACGATAGGAGAACACTTTATTTCTTCTACAAAGATAGCAGTATCACAAAATCATTAGTTCCTGGTAGAATGTGGGGCTTTATTTAAATTTATAGCATGCTTGAGTTGTCATTTGACTGACAGCTAAATCAAGAGATAATTCTATTTTTCCCTACCCATGGTATGAAAATAGTAAGCAGGAAGCAGGTTGTCATACAAATCAGTAATTTTGACATATGCCAGT